AATGGTTAGAGAACCTTGGTGACATAGCTCAGAATCGATCACAATGGTGCAGGTGTATGCACTCTTTGTCTTACTTTAAACTGTGGCATCGCTTCATACCTTTATTTATAGCACCTAATTTATGCTTCCCGTATTATATCCTTACATACATTCTTTATTTTATATATCACTGCCATTGAAGTAACTCCTTCTATGAATTTGGTGTTAATGTTGTTGTGCTTATGAAGTTGGACCGATGCATATATGTGCCTAGTCCTACGTTGTAGCTGACCGACTGAATGATAATCTTTGTCATTTTTGCTCTATAAAAGGTTATCATATGAACTGGTTGTGTATCTTATCAAAAGAACGTATTCAACGTTTCACGAATATAGATAGTTTTCTACAACTAAACCATTATAAATAGTAATAAAATAGTTAAACAGTTTTCTTTTGAAATTGTTTAAATAACTTGTTTGGTATTTTTTAGCATCATATTCATTACTACATTTTCATGCATTACAACATCACAATGATTAATCGCCATTTAAAATTTTATGTATAAACTTTTCTGTTACTTACTTTCTTACTTACGCCTGTTACCCTTCGTCGAGGAGCATAGGCCGCCCACAAGCATTCTCTATCCAACTCCGTCCTGGTTAATCCTTTCCAGTTCTTTCTAGTTGTTATTCATCCTTTTCATATCTGCTCCTATTACCCGACGTAATGTGTTCTTTGGCCTTCCTCTTTTCCGCCTCCCTTCCGGATTGTCTCGTGATGCACATTAGTGATTTCCTTAGTGTATGTCCGATCCACTTCAAACGTCTTTTCCTAATTTCCTCTTCAGCTGGAAGCTGGTTTGTAGTTTAAATATATATTCTCTATGAGAAGGTTATAATCATATTTTGCTTTAAAATGTGTGTCTTGTGAATAGTATTGCAAAAGCTTCTAACTACTTGGTGTAATTGATTATATAGAATCACAAGTGAAGTTATGGTCAGAATAAACAGAATATTGCAGAAAATATCAGATTCTTCGAGGTTATAGAAGTGTTTTCTTGGTGAATGCCAATAAAAAGAAACAGAACTTTCACTCAGAACTATCGGTTACATCGATTATTATCTTTGTATTTTGTTCATGGAAAATCAGAACAATTTATGAGTCTTATTTTATCATTAGGGTGAAATAACTTTCCTTAATAAAATGATTTATGCCTAAAATAATCTCATATGAATTTGAATACATCAACGAAATTAAAATGGGTTATTTAATACTAATGATATTTTGAAGGTGATTTTCATAGGAAACTAATATTTTGCCAAGCAAATCAATAGGAATCATGCAGACCTGAAAAGTTATTCTCTTCTAGTTTATAACTTTTTATTTGTGTGCAGTTCACAGAGAATCAAATTTATGACCATCAGATTTCTCGCAGAATGTGTTGTTTTCAAGCTACTAGGTATAAATCCAACTAATTGTGTTGCAACCTATGCAACTGTAATCTTAATAGTAATCGATACTTTCTGAACGTTTCCATTCCAATATCAACACTTAATTTATTGACCTAAGATAAAGTATTATCTATACGGCAGTGAACATCTTATTCCATAATGATCATATTCATATGAATTTATGTGTTATTTTTCTGATGAAGTACAAATGATAAATTATAAATGAAAAAGTTTAGTAAATCCTAATCAGTTTATTTGTTCTACTAAAAACTTCTCTTCAGAAAACTTTATTTATTTATTTTGATCAAATAGGAGACTAACTGAAAACAAATTACATTTAATAGTTGAGATCATGAATCAATCAAAGCTAGACCACCATCAAAAATCTGGAAACAGTGGACGGCCATTTCATCCTATTGTGGGACTCCTCAGCAGTGCGCGCAAACGAGCCGGCCTCACGAGATTCGAACCCAGTACCTATCATTCTCGCGCCAGAGCACGTAACCGATGTCTAACTTCAACTGATCCACGACATTAAGCGACACAATCCACCATTGTCTTTAGTGTGTTACTATCTCACAACTGATTCATGATCCCAACTATTAAAATTACTATAATATCCACAAAACCCTTTTGATTTAAATCATTTTTATTTTGCATTATTTTTTATTTATTTATTATAACTGACTCTAAGTTTGACTTGATTTGATTACAATCATGTTAGTTTACTGAAAATACGAATAGATTATTCAGAAAAGAAGTAGATTTCTTTTAGTAATAAATAATTACAATCATGTTTAAAATAGTTTTAAAACAAGATAATTTATATAATCAGTTAGTATCTCCAAAAATAAAACATAAGCAGATATTTTATTCCAATTTCATATTTTTCAGATACCTATTCGAGTAATTAAATGAAACATTAAAAGCTAAATCAATCAACATCATAATAAGCATGTCATAATGGAGTTATCTAGATAGAGTAAGATATTTCATATTCCTCAATATCTATTGGTATCTGATCTGAAAAGTCATTCATCTGAGGAGTTTCTCAATAAGACGAAACGGCCGTCCAGTGCTTTCAGGTTTTCGTTGGTGGTCTAGCTTCAGTTGACTAATGCTTTCAACTATGCGTTCATTTTTTTCTCTAAAAAAAACTATTTGAGTTTTACAAGTTTTTATTTTAGTCAAGCCGTTTGTTCGTATAAAAAATTTTCTATTCATCATATCAAATAAGATAAAAGATAATTTAACCATAAAAAAACAACTCAAATATAACAGTTGTTTACGCAAGATACTTCGGATCCGTTGGCCAAACACTATCAGCAACAACTTACTGTGGGAGTTAACAAACCAGATTTCAGCGGAGTAAGAAATCAGGAAGAAATTAGTAATCTTTTAGTCTATAGATTACAATGGTCCCAATTATAGACATTTATATTTTTATTACTTCAAAACTAGATCCATTACATTTGAAAAATAAAACACATTCCAAACTATATCATCATCATCATAAATAAATAAATAAATATATTTCTAGTATCCCAATGAGTAAAAAAATTAGATTTTATGACGTTTCGTAACTCAGTATAAGCCACTTCTTCAGAGAATAAATAGCCAAATTAACATTCATTTAAGGTTCATCATCATCATCATCATCATCATCATCAGTTTTTTATTTAATGAATAGAATTCTATATAGAATATTGTCTCAATTAATCTATCAGTATAATATGAATAGTATATATTTGGCTAATTTCATGTCAAAATTTAATTATTATCATTATTATGATATTGATGATAACATTGAACTGAACGCACACACACACAGAAAAAAAAACATTTTGACCCATAAAATAAGATAATTATACTATCAATTATTGATTAGCAACAATTGTATAGACATTTACAAGGTAAATAGGACAAATATTTTGACAAGATAAAAAAAATATTAGACTGATTAGAAATTTGAGCCAGAATTAGTTGCTTGTTTGTTTGTTTGTTTTTGTTTTGTTTTTTTAAAAAAAGGGGGAAATATTTTCAAAATATTTTTTATATTAATGAATACCGATGAAAATAGTTAATTAATTTGTCCTGAAAATGAGAAAAAAGAAGAATTTGTTTATCCATTCTGTTACTAATGTTTGTTGTCATTTATCCTATTTATGAAATATGTTTACCTCATTGATTATATACTCTGGGCCAACAAGTCACTTAACAGTAATAATGTTTCATCAAACCCAACTTGGTATAATTACTATGAAAAACGTAATACCTTTTTGATTATTATATCCAAGCTCATTTGAAATTTTATTATTTTATTTAGGAAGCAGAAATTTGTTGTCTACTTAGTATATTAACAAGAATAGAATTAAATAAATAACGAACAAAAATATTATTGGAAGGGGTTTTTCTGTGGAGATTTATTATAGACTATTGATTAAGTGCTCTAGAGCGAGACTGGTAGGTCCTGGGTTCGAATCTCGAGAGGCGAGGTCGTGGATGAGCACTGCTGAGGAGTTCCACAATAGGACGAAACGGCTGGCAAGTGTTTCCAGGTTTTCGATGGTGGTCTAGCTTCAATCGACTCACGCTTTCAATTATGAGAAAAAAATATATTACTAATAGTTAAGTAGTATAAACAGTTAACGCGTGTTAGTGATGAACTAATGAATACAGATCTATTATAGCATTGAAATCGCTTATCAACAGAAACTTCTAATAACTATAAGTTAACATTTTGATAGTGATATCTTGAGAAAGAATCTGTAAGATCTCGAGCTGGTGATATTTTGATGATTAAAACAAAAATTTATCAAGACCAATGTATGACACTGCATACTCTTTGTTTACATTTCTATCTCAAACAGGAATACCTAGTTTAGTTTATTCATTACTTACATTTCACTTCAAAGCTCGTCAAAATTTCTCTTATTCTACTCATCGAAAGAAATTTTCCGTGACTGGTCAGATATTTTATTATTTAAATCAGTATCCTAGATAAACCTGCTTTCTATCATGTTTAAGTAGTACCCGTTTATGCCAACAAATTATTATTTATACAATTTCATAAATAAATCATTCGATTGTATTCGTCTACTGATGTTTACTTCAGATTACTAAGTATTTTTGTAATTGTACGGAAAGTGAAAGGCATTGAAATTACAGATAAACCTCAAAAGTATTAATTCTTCTCATGTAATTTGTATTCGAATGTTTATACGAAAGCTTTTAAATCGGTGAATATAATATACAATAGGCGGCATATGTTGTGATTGGTTGGTGACGTGTCCTTATTGACCTTGAGATGTTTTACTAAATAAACACAGATAGTTATAAACTAGTTAACTAGATAATTTATACCACCTTTACTGTTGGTTTGAAAATTGTATTATTTATATTTTATCCTTGATCATTTGTTTGTATAATTGTGTTTATACTTTATACACAAGCTCCATCAGTCTGTTGAAATATTCTAAACAGAATACTTTTATTGATAGAATCTTAGTCACATTCTTGTCCTACATTCACTTCTGTAATTTTCATTTTTTTTTATTCATTTTATTTTAGATGTGCCAATTATATATCCTTTTGAATCGAATGCAATACGTGTATTAGAAACTACTTCATTTAAACAAGCATGCAGGAGTAAAGCAAATCCTTCAGCTCAAATTTATTGGGTCGATGAGAATCAAAACCTGGTTTCAAGTAATAAGAAACAGTTCTCCTATTATAAATGATAAACTAAGTAAAATTTTCTTATTCCATTATGTAAACATTATTGTTTGAAATATTTTTCTAAGCAAAGTAAGGACGAGAAATGTTTGACAAATGCCATAAATTTAGTCATGTTAATAATATGGTACTAATTATTAGGGAAACTAGATACCACTTTCACTACTGTCGTAAACTGACTAATTTTTAAAAAGATGAACCATGAGATTTCAACTCAGTAACCTATAGGTGATGAGCCGGCCATCAAAAATTCTTATTTTCATTATTTGACGAATAACTGATGCACGATTTTGAGCAACTTAAAGCGTTTTAGCGAGTTAATTTTCTTCAGAATGTGGTCGCTAACCGCATGCCCAACCCTTCTCCTTTATCTGGGCTTGGGATCGGCAGTAACCCCGGAGAGGCTCCCGGCGGAGTTAAGGAACTTAAATCTACTACAAAATTATTGACCTATAGCCTCGCCGCTTTATGGTGTTTTATCTATCTGACGTCAGTTAGTGATGAAAACTTTCTTCACTTAGGGAGAATATTTTTGTGATTGTTCACATAATTCATATATCATTTAACTACAAGTTACTACGGCGTATGAATTTCAAAAGGGAAAACGCAGTAGGTAGAACGTTTTATTTCAACAAATACCTCAAATTATACGACTAACAGGTATAGAACGAGAAAGATGAATGAACAAATGAAAACAACTTGATAAGTAAGTATTTCTGTATATGCAAGTAAGTCATTAAGCGCTTAAACAACTGATATTTAACCTGATATGAGAAATATATGAGTAGGTAGTTACATGCACTTGATCATACACATTCATACAGGCATAAAAATATACATAAAAGTACTGGTGAATTATTACGGACCGAAATAGAACTATCTGTCATGTAGATTATTTCCAGGACTTAATTAATTTGAATATATACAAGCTTGTGTTAGGGTAAGGCTATATTTCACGTCATTCTGCTAAGATTATTTGAATTTTATCAAGCTTGAAAATTAATTGGTTGTTTGCTCACCTGAAGTAAATTGTTATAAAAGTGGTGATCAGTTGATGTTTGTTGAATAGTTTAATCATGAACTCCTTAGAAATAAAAATGTTTTCAAGCCCAGGAGTTTTTTCTTTGCCAAGAATTCCATGTACATCGCTAAGTCTAAGTATTTGTAAATAATGGATGTATACAGCCATGTTAAACATATCAATGTGTTCATAAAACATGAGAACTATACATTAAATACTTCATTTTCAAATCTCGCATAATCTGTACTTCATATTCTGTATGATCTTTATAGTCCACAATTCCTTTCTATTTTACCTTCTATTCTCTTCAACTCGATTTTATTAGCCTTCTGATGTCAGGTATTCCACTTCTGATTGATGATACGAACTACTTATATGTGTCGACATAAGTAGTATTCACCACATTGTGTTAATACACACATAATAACTTCTGATACCTTACAGTGAAATATTACTGTTTATTGTCTTTGATCATTATATTTTTTTAATGATACCTATGAAAACACTTCATTTAGATGAATCCTGGTAAAGATTTTAGTAATTCAGTTCACTTAGGATAAATAAAGTGATTAAAAATTTAACCCGATCACTACGATTTCAATATACTGGTATACAACAATCTTCCTACACAGATAATTTTATATACAGTAAATTCTAGTTATTTCTATTTTACTGTATACAAAAGAATGTGTAAATGAAGTTATTAGTCAATGCTGATATATGTTCATTGGATTTCAGATATTCATCAACACCAAATCATGTCATATTTCATTATTGTTGATCAGTAATACAACTTGGTTAACATTTTTGTTGCAAGAAACGTTATCAATATTAAGATCCCGTTATTATGTAACCAAAAATTCCTTTTCAACCTGTTCAATTTAGTTAAACAGCTATCTTTATTTAATTTTAGATAATTCGCTACTTCATATACACCATGTGAGCAGAAACGGGCCGAAATTGTACAAATGTGTAGCGTCGAATGAAATCGGGGAAACTAATCTAAAACTGTTGGTTGATGTATTGTGTAAGTGTGAGCTTCTTGTTTAATTTTCAAACATAGTTTCTAGAATTGGATAAAATTTGAGTTTGAAATAAGTAATGCAGATCGAAGAAAGATGAACACTTTTATTTTGAAACAGTATTTTACGAGGCATATATATACATACATACAATAAAGGCATGTCAATCACCGAGATTCAAGAACAGAGAAACATATGGGTAGAAAAATTTGAGGGACTCTTGAATAGACCTGCTCTGCTAAATCCACCGGGAATCCAAGCAGCACACACAGATATTCCTTTACATATCACTCCACCAACTATGGGAGAAATCTATTGTGATCATCGGACAAATCAACAGTCGGAAAGCAGTAAGACATGGCAACATACAATATACAAGTTATACATAGAAGCAACTGCAAACATGCTCCATGGGAGGAGTAACAAGTGCCACAGACAGACTGGAAAGAAGGACACCTCTTCAAGATAATTAACAAAGACGATCTGAGCCAATGTGAGAACTACAGAGATATCACATTACTACCAGTACCAGCAAAGATTTTCAACAGAGTGTATCTCAATTGGATGAAAGATTCAGTAGATACACAGCTTTGAGACCAACAGATTGCGTTCCGTAAAGATTGGCTGTGCACAAACCGACTCGCGACACCACGGTTCATCGTCCAACAATCTATTGAATGGAATTCGTCACTATATATCAACTTCCTGTGTATGAGTAGGCCTCAACATACACAAATGTGAAACCAACATCATCAAACACAACACGGAGAACACCAAACGAACCAATCACACTTGATGGAGAAACTCCGTTGGAACATGTGGAAACTTCCACGTACCTGACTGATCAACGTCACCGATGAACTAGGAGGATCAGATGCAGAAATCAACGTTAGGATTGGCAAAGCAACAACAGCATTCCTACAATTGAACAGCATATGAAACTCAAAGCAATTATCTGCAAGCCACCATCAAAATCAGAATCTTCAATAGAAATGTCAAGACCATTCTACAGTATGGTACTTAAACTTGCACAACTATTACTAATATCATCAAAATAATGCATGTATTTATGAAAAATAGTCTACACAATATACTCAATGTCCGTTGGTCGGATACCATCAGCAACGAACATCCTACTGTGGGACTGATCAAATCAGCTTCGATCTGAAGAGAAAATGAAGAAAAGACTGCGGAAGTGGATAGTACATACATTAGGAAAATCACCAAACTGCATCACGAGAAATGTGGTAACTTGGGATGGTAAAGGGAAACGGCAAGGAGGAAGGTGATAGATCACACTGCTTGAGAATTGTAAGCAGATATGAAATGGATGAATGTTAACTTGAAAGAAGTGGTAAGGATTGTCCATGACAGAGTTGGATAGAGAATTCTGGTGGGTGGCCTATGTTCCTCCACGAGGAGTATCAGGAGTAAGTAAGTAACATCTCACTTTTGAAATTTTTTCAATCAGGAACAAAAGATTTCGCTTTTACAAATTAGTTAATTGAAAATCAATGATCGGAGCCTTGTAATTAACGTTAGTTCAGGAAGCTCTGGTTCAACCAACTGCATGATCATTTTCAACTAGTTTTAATTATTAACAGTTTCACAACACAGATTGTAGCTAGACAGACATTGAAAATCAGGATGTACTGGACACTTGTTCTAGCCTACCATGTGATTGTTCAACAGTGCCTATCCATGACTTCACGATGAATCTCGCTTAAGAGTATCGATTGTCTCGGCAGATCCTTAACTTTCAGACTACTTGAGTATTATCTAATGGTGTGTACTGACACATTTTAACCACTTCTTGATCTCACGTGACCATCTCCCATTGAAACATGTGATACTTGTTACACACCAGATATAGTCAAACAGTACTGGTCACAGACTCTCATTAGTACTCTGAAAATTACGTGGACAAAACAGCTTTTCAATACTTCTAGGTTTTTAATGACTGTCTATCTATAATTAATCCTTAACGTAAAACTTCAAATTAAATTACTTACACAACACATTATTATTTTCAGTTAGTTGTTTTAGGAAAACAGCTGGTTTCCGTGAATGTACATTTTTAGAAATAATTTCAAATTATTTAGCGAATTACTACCTTAAATAATACATACAGAATTAGTAGAGGTTCCATATTAGTAGTTTTTTTAATTTAATTTCAACTGAAACCAAATTTCATGATTTGACCATGTATCGAAGGTTTTTTCTAAGACACCAAACTACCAATCTTATAGATGTAGAATGTAAGAAATTACCTTGTTATATCTTTGACAAATGTTAGTAACTTTTTATTCATCTCAATTAGATCCTCCTACTGTTCATGTCCAGTCAAAAGTAACTGTTAATGAAGGTGAAGCATTGGAAATAGCTTGTCGTGTTGATGCGAATCCAGTTGCTTCATCAATATACTGGACTTATAATAAATTTCCTGATCAAACAAGAACACGTGATCAATCAACTTTACATTGGTTCCAATATAAACGAATAGATGGTTCTGTCTTGAAAATCCCTTATACATATCCATATCATGCTGGACAATATTTTTGTCATGCAGATGCTGAGATTTATATGCCGAAAGATCTCTGGTTATCTCAAAATTTATCAACTTCCAGTGAAGTATGGTCTATTTGGAAACAAAGGTCTAGATCATTTGCAGCGGTTAATTTAACCATAAACTGTAAGTTTAGAATGTTTTTAAAAATTATATCATTGCTTGTATTTTCTCGATGACCCGAAATGAATATTTAAATGATAACGTACATTGATCTTTAGGAAGGTTGATTGTAATAGACGCCGTGACCTTATGCTTCCCAAATATTGTGTATAATGTGTATATACCCTGACTATCAATAGATTGTTAGCGTTAGTTATTTGATATTTCACTCGAAAATACAGTCTTCTCATTTTTTAAGTTTTCTGTTTAGTCCACTAAGTCATTTGAACCTGGTTATAAGGAGAAGAGAAAAAAATAATAAATCCTGAAACAGTTTATTGCTATTCTTTTTCTTTTATTACATCATATAAGTCGTCATAGAGTAGTGTTAAGAAAGTTAGCTTTCAGTGATTTCTCTAGTACTTAAGAATTCACGATTGAGATCTTGATAAGCAGATTTTAAAAGCATTCCAATAGATTGTCTCCACTGATTAAAAAATATAGTTATAGGTGAAACTATAATCTATGTACGACCTTTAAGTGATGATAGCGTGACCTTGAGAGTTTCCATCTAATAACTAGGATAACATGAGTTATAAACCAGTTTGAGAAGTTAGAATTATGATTTACAGTTGATGGTTAAGGTTAGGAAATAGATTTAAGGTTTTCATTATGAACTGACATCAGCTATAATGCCGAAACGCCGTTTAGCCAAATGGATAAACGACTTTCGCACCCAAATTCAAGACCTGTTAGCCTGAATCTGATTGATTTGTCCATAAATTATAATCTCGCCTTCTCATCACTATTTTTTTGCCAAAATGGTTTTAATCTACTCTAAGTCTTTTATGTGAATCTCTTTTGAATTTTTTACCAAAACTCAGATTCTCCTGGACAACCTACTTTAACTGTAGTATATTCAACCAATAACAAAGGTGAAGATTACATTATATTACAATGTCAAGAAAATTCTACAGGTAATATCTTTTCAAGTTTAAATTATTACAAAATAAATCATGTTTAAAAAGTGCGCTAACATTAATCTGTTCTTCGCGGTGTAATTTCTGCAACGGTTTCTAAACTGAAACCAATTCAACTACTTGTATTCTTCACCTCCTGACGGGTGCTGTCAGTTTGCCTATATATACATATATATATATATATATATATATATATATATATATATATATATATATGAAAATGAAGTTCCTTGACTTTTTTTATGAAAAGCTATTGTATTAGCTTTTCAGGAATTTTCAAATTTGAACTTGATATCTGTTGTATTTTACTTACTTACTTACTTATTTACTCCTGTTACTCCCGATGAAGCATAGGCCGCCGACCAACATGATATCTGTTGTATATATGGTAGTTATTCGTCAGTATCATAAACTGAATGTGAACAAAATCAAATTTTCCATTGTAAATTATTAAATAATTGAATGTCTTCAACAAAGAACTACCTTTTATTTGTGAACAATCATGATCAAAACAAAACAAGGTGAAAATGATAGAAGACTTTCATGTGGAAATTGAAGTGAAACCCTTACTTGTATACTTGTAAAAGACTTACAATATTACCTTTGTTTCTACATTGATCTAATTGTAAAACTTTGAATTTATTTCATAGCACCTGGTCTACCACGTCCAACATTTCATTGGCTTCGGACAGTTGGAACTAATGAAAGAACTGAAATTCTAGATCAATATTTTAATTATGAATATAATGAACAATCAAAAAGTTTTACAATTAAATTATTTAATTTAAGTGTATTTGATTCTGGAATATATAGTTGTTTTGTACAAAATGAACTTGGATCAAGTCAATTAGCATCTGTAAATGTTCTTATTAAAAGTATGTTCATTTTTTTAATCGATTTGTAATTTGTAATATGATCAAAATTTGTTTACTGAACTGAATGAGTTCAGTTTTGACCTTTTTAAATTATGAAGTTGATTGTGACTAAACAATTTCACTGTCTTTCAGGGTGTACAATGGTTTTTTGAGGGCCTACAAATGAATAATTACATTTATTCAATGTTATTGATATCACCTAAATTAGATATGCTTTGAAAATCAGGAACCATTGGACAGGTGTTTTATTCTAGTTTAAGTCAACCAGTGACCTCAACGGGGATCGAATCAAGGACCTTCGGTTTTTGCGGAGAACGCTTAACTGCCGGATTACTGAGCTGCCATCTGATAGTATATCTGTCAAATTTCAATGAATTCGCAATCAATCAATTCGAATCATAGATGCTCGATCTTAAGGAGTCTCGTAGTAGGATGAAATAGCTCTCAATGGTTGTCTAACTTAGTTCGGTTCGCGATACCAATAACAATCGATAATTTCCACATAACCCCCATCCATATTACTTGTTTTATACTTGCGAAGCTAATCAACGTTGTCTTCATTTGTTATCTCATATGTAGATTTTGAAGTAATTATTTTTGGAACATTATGATTCAAAGACTTCAAATGATAAGTTTGTCTGACAATGGAATGAATATTTAGAATTGCGTTCCTTTCCCAGACTTTCATCCTTGTTTAGCATTCAATTCAAGGAAAGCACTTCATTTTGGAAGCTATTGATTATCATACCTTAGGTTTCTTTATTCTAATTCCAGATACTGGAGAGAGTTGTACTGGTTAATGGTTAGTTGGTTAAAATGTACTTGATTTTGTTGTATTTAAATTTTTGCAGGCCATTGTAAATTTTTTATCCTAGAAGGCAAGAAAAGTTGAGCCGCGTTATACCTGAATTCACTATTAAGAAACTTCGAGACTTTGATCAGGTCACCACTGATCCTTCTGTATGGTCAGGGACATGGGTACAGCTTCGCTAACCTATCTTCATATAATACACTTGAGATTCCAAGGAATAACTTTGTTATGGTTCTTCGAACCTCATCCAACAGATTATAGACTTCTATAGACAGAAGCTAGCTTCCTATACGTAACTATACAACACTGTATATAATATTAAACACATGTTGATAGACAAACAGATGAACGTTCTCGTTCATAAATTTTGCATTGATGATGTAGTTCAAAACGACGAAGAATGATTCTCAATTAAAACATCAAGCTCAGAGAACCCTATTTCACCAAATACATGACCCTGAAATAATTTGATTTATACCGGTATTCTTTTTCATATCATTTTTTATTTTAAAAATAACTATATTATGCTGGAATAATGTCTTAAGTCCAGATAAGAATCTCTAAACTAGGTTGGCACTCAGAAGCAAGTTCATAAGCCGGAAAATCTTAAGCATGATATATAAAGTAAATTAAGTGTAGCTGAAGAGAGATCCACACAAACGAGCTGATGTAATGTGGTCTTCTACTCAGTGTTAATGGATTCAAATCTAAAATGTTTTAATGCAGCCAGAAAAATTACTAGTATCTCCAAGGATACATGAGTTTCCCTCTGACTGAATATACTACCTATTAATTTGTGAAATTAAGCTGTATATATAATTTAAAAGTCCCATGTTTAAACCAACGATGTTTGGTGATCTTCGAAAAATTTGTTTTGTAAGTGTGACTCTTCATATTAAAACTAAGTGATTGGAATGAATCACTTTTGTACCTCATTTCGAAAACTCATTTCCAATGGAGAAACCCAAGTGATCAAAATAAATCAGCATTTTGCAATACTCCTTAATTATAACATATGTTTTCAAACAATTCAATTACCATAAACCATGAATAAAACTCTTCTGTCTACAACGACCAAACATATTCTCATTTGGCTAACTCTGTTAATCAAAACGTATTATAGATATGATCAGTGAAATAAACCATATGCTGGAAAATCAACGAGCCAAAGTCAAAATTCTGCGGTCTATTTTCCAACATTATCCATAATTTAGGAGAAATTTGATCTGATCTAAAAACCAGTTGATATCAGATGTTGCAAAGAAAAAATATAAAAATATTTTCAAAAAAAAACAACAACCGAGAATAATTGTTTCCAGTAATTTCATGTTTTAGCTTGACAGTTAGATATTGAAAATTGTTTTATTACTTTAAATGCTTATCTTTAACTCTGCCTCAATTTTATCTGTGGCCTCTCTTCTCATACCATTGGAATATTTTAAATGGGTTAATTCTCGCTAGTATTGCTATTTACGAAGATATTATTGATGATATATCCGTATGGTTTAAACTTTCCTTTTTACCATGAATAGATACTATTGTAGTAAACAAGAACACGGGTGGAGACAATTGAATGTATTTTAGCATAACATTACAGAATATTTCGTTAAAAAATATGAGAACCATATAGTGAACAATTAATTTGAAAAATAACAATCAGTTGTCTCAATTTGACTGTTTCTTCTTCCATCCATAGTCTCCGATTATAATTGTTCATGTATTTTCGTACCAATTGCGTGCCGTTCCCGTTCTCTCCTTATCGATCTTCTACTGAAATACATTCAATACCTGACCATCACCATATATTACTTATGTGAATATCAGTAACATACATCACACTATCTCCATGTCTGTGTGTCAAATAAACCTGAATAGTTATTTTACATATTTCAAGATCTCTATGTAGTACCCATAAACAATACCACACATTAATGAGCAAATGACTTCGAATTTTTTTAGTGATCATCGAAAATTAACTGTTGACTGTTGTAAAGTTTAAAAGTGAGACGACAGATGTCCAATTATTTCTGGTTTTCAAAGACTTAACGTCTTATGTCAGGTAGTGTTTATAACCATCTGTATAGTCATATCTCAATTACAAGTGTCTCTTTTTTTCGTATTAAATCCATTTGGCAATCGTCTGTTGATTTACATAGATACATCAACTTGCAGTATTCTTTTGATATAAAAAATAACACATATGTACACATATATTGAATACTGTCTATTAATTTTATCATTTAGTTTAATAAGTAACTCATTTTGTAATTTACTTTGTATTACTTGTTTGAATATTCCCATTGATGTGTTAGGACCGAAACTGGTTAGTCCCTTATTGACAAATGTGCATACTGTGCGTATTGCCTCGATATAGCCTTAATTCACTAGCATTGTAAGCAAAGATGGATAATAGCTAGCATTGGAATCCCGTACATGCGTTTCGTCCTATTCGAGACTCGTCAGCTGGGTGTACCTGCATCTCAGAGTTGATTTTCACTCTGAGACTGACCAGTTGTCCTAAACATCAATGGGTACATTCAAACAAACAATACCAAATGAATTTAAACCTCACCTCATGACAAAATTAAGTGGTTATCAGGACTCAGTAGCTGAATGGATAACGCGATGGGGTTTGAAGCGAAAGGTACTAAGTTCGACTCCCAAAGTGGACATCAACTCTGAGATGCAGGTACATCCAGCTGACGAGTCTCAGATAGGAAGAAACGCCCGTCCTGAATTCCACTGCTAGCCATTATCCATCTTTGATCATTTTGTAATTATTTAATTCATTCTATGTATGAAATTTAAGAAATTACATCATTCAAATCTTACATTTACTTAACAATATGAATGTATGAAAATAACTTTCACAATTTATAATATTTATATGTACTTGACCATTGTAAATAGTCGAATGAAAAAAGTAACTTTTTTGAAATCATTCAACACATGAACAATTTTCTTTTTTCTCTTCTTTTTTTTTTCTTTGGTACCATTCATTAGATAAACCTGTTTTAATAAATAAACCAAATGAAAAAATGACTCTTGAATTTCAAAATATCCATACAATAGAACAAAATACAATTAATCAACATAATATAATTCAAAATGTATTAGAATATACTATACATATGATACCTGATAACACTATGAATTGTACATTTATATCAAGTTTATCATCTGATGTTCAATGGTTATTTCATAATTATCATAATTTTAATAATCTTAATCAAATTCTATTTATGAATAAAAATATATTAAAACAATGGACACAAAATTATATTATAAAAAATAGATTTGGTTTATGGAAAATTTTAACTAAATTAAATTTTCAATTTAATGATATAAAATTATATATGATGAATTCGTTGAATAAAATTTTCAAAAAATTAAATAATGAATTACCTAATAAATTAATACCATATAGTTGGGATTATCAAATATTAAAACAATTATTTGAATTTCTTATCATTCTTCAATTTGAAGGTAATTATTTATGTGAATCATCGAATTCAATGGGAATTGAATATGGATTAATTAATTTAAAAGTTCAAAGTAAGTGAAATTCATTAATTTATTAATTTATTAACATATTTCTATTTAGAAGGGGATTTGTGGAGATTTTAGTATTTTTCAAAGTTGAAATCATGAGTCAATTGAAGCTAGACCACCATCCAAAACCTGGAAGAACTGGACGACTGTTTTGTCTTATTATGGGACTCCTCGGCAGTGCGCATCCACGAATCCATTCTCGTGGGATTTGAACCCAGGACCTACCAGTTTCGAGCCGAAGCCCTTCGAATGATTTCAACTTTGAAAAATACTGAAATCTCCACAAATCCCCTTCTAAATATAACCATATGCTCACTAGTGACTGACTTCAAGATACATGTCCTGGAGTTCAACCACGTCCGTTGTGAGATATCAACTCACTGAAGACAATTGGTGAATGGTTGCTCAACTTCGTGGATCAGTTGAAGTTAGACATTAACACCGTTGGATGCCAGCTCAGTAGTCTATCGGTTAAGGGCTTCGGCTCGAAACTGGTAGATCCTGGGTTCGAATCCCGCGAGAGTGGGTTCGTGGATGCGCACTGCTGAGGAGTCCCATAGTAGGACGAAACGGCCGTCCAGTGCTTCCAGGTTTTCGATGGTGGTCTAGCTTCAATTGACTCATGATTTCAACTTTGAAAAATATTTCTATTTGTAAAGTCTGAAGAAAAAAAGAACAAATTTGAAATGTAATAAAATTATATTTGTACTGTATAACACTAATGATTCTACTAGTGTGATGTGGTCTACTTATATACTTATAAGTAGTATATGGTGATGGTCATATATAGAATGTATTTTGGCAGAAGATCGATAAGGAAGGAACACGGATGAAGCGCAATCGGTATGAAAATGCATGAATAATGAAAACAGAGAAGATGGACTGATATTTGCAGAAGGAATAGTTAAGATTGAGACAATTGATTGTTATTTTGCGAATTAACTGTTTACTGTATGTAGGTATCATTACCAAGTTTTGATTTGATAATTTTGAATAAATTGAGCATTGGGTGGATTGTTATAAATAAATAAATATATTTGTAATATCCCATCTCATATCAAATTCACGAATGAAAATGAAAATGAACATGGAGAGTTACCTTTCTTAGATTGCCTAGTGAAAAGAAATAAAGATGGAGTTCTAAATTTATCCATCTACCGAAAGCCCACACACTCCAATCATTACATCGACTTCCATTCAGCACATCCTTTCAGTGCTAAAATCTCGTTAGCCTTAAATCTTTTTAGAAGAGCCAACAAGATCATCACTTCAGATGAGGACAAACTAAAAGAACAAAAGAATATAATTAGCATCTTACAATTTAATAATTTTCCGATGAAGATTATCAGAAGCTTATTAAAACAAGACAATTCAGCACGTAATAATAACAATAATTCGAATGAAATGCCATGGATTGGTACTGCAGTTTTACCATACCGTCATGGCACAACTGAAGAACTCCAAAGAATCTTAAAACAACACAGAATTAAAGTATATTACAAAACAACGAGCACTCTTCGAAATACTTTAGTTCGATTAAAAGAAAAGATACCATTCATGTCTACACAGAACTGCGTCTACAAATTAGGTTGTGTCGACTGTGATGCCTTCTATATTGGAGAGTCATCTCGCGAAATCATGACTCGCACCAAAGAAAATATTAGGTACACAAAGAAACCTCCTAATAATCCTGTAGAACTAGATAGACTTCAAATTAAATCGGCATTAGCGGGTTCATGCCATTTTCAATAATCATCAAATTGATTTCAAAAACATCAAAATACTGCAGAAAGGTTTTTCCAATCACAAAGAAAGAAGAGTAGCTGAAGCTTTCCATATAATGCTTAATCCCACTGCCCTTAATAGAAAAGAAGGCTTTACCATACATCCCACTTGGACTATCTATCCTAGTCAACCAGTCTAATATTATTTACAATTTCACACCATCACATTACAAATTAAACTCTATCATTTGTCATTACAAAGGTCACATATTTTTCGTCATTAACAATGCATACATACACACAAAATTACATACATATCCCTTATGAATCACTTTGAACGAAATGAAATGACATGACATTGATCTATTCAGACCTGTTTTTTGATTGATCACCTAATATTCTTGGATTGTTCTGTTGTACTATTTAAACTTGGATTAATGTTAATTTGGTTATTTATTCTCTGATGAAGTGGCTTACACTAAGTCACGAAACGTCGGAAAATCTAATTTTTCTACTCATTGGGATATTACAAATATATTAATTTATTTATGTTTACTGTATGGTTATCAGAATATAGTGAGATAGTCTGTAATTTGTGTTTAAATTCATTCAATTGTCCCCACTCATGTTCTTGTTCACTACACTAGTACCTTTTAACAGAATAATGTTTTTTATACAGTACATTCTTGATTCTTGATCTGATAATACACTTCTTATCTGCTTGTATACAGTTTATTTCTGTGTTTACAGATTAATAGTTATTGTGGGGAAGCTTCTTGTTATAGATTCCTGTTTTATCTTGATTTATTTATTGAAACCATTTGTCAAAGTTAAAATTCACTCAATAATTCAATGAATAAAACATTTTCAGTCAATATTTTGACTATTTGATGCAGATCATCGACAAAGCTATGAAATTTACATAGTATGATTCTGTACTTTAAGTGGACTTACTTACTTACGCTTGTTACCTCTAGTGAAGAAACATAGGCAGCCCACCAGAATTCCCCATCCAACTCTGTTCTCGACAATTCTTTCCACTTGTTCCCAGGTGCTATTCATCCTTTTCATGTCTGTTCTATCATCTTCCTCCTTGCCGTTTAACTTCATGACTCCGAGTTAGTGCTTGCCCAGTGATTCAGTGTGATGATCTCTGTAATGTATGTCATATCAACCTCCAATATCCCTTCCTAATTTCTTCATCAGATCGAAGCTGGTTCATTCTATCCCACAGTAGGCTGTTGCTGATGGTATCCGAACAACAGGCATTGAGTATCTTACGTAGACAATTGTTTATAAATACTTGTACCATTTCCATGATGGTTGTGATAGACCACTGTGAACACTTGTGGGTACCTTATGGCTGTTTCGACATTGTCTGGCACTCTTAAACAGTACGCAACCACAGTTCAACATATGCGAATCAAACTCAGAACCTTCAATCTCGCGCACAAATGCCTAAGCTCTAGATCGGTGGGTCGGTATCTAATAGTGTTAGTGTTTGTCCTCAACCAATTTAGGATATTTCACAACCTTCACCCACAGCCAACCATGTGCTCACAAGTGACTAGCTTCAAGATGTAGCACCTGAAATTCCAGTAAGAAGTCACAACCAATGAAGTTCAACCATATTGAATGCAAGACGAATATCCACAACGCAAGCGAGACTGAAGGTACTAAGTTAGAGCACCTCCTGTGGATTAGTGATTTCGAGCTGCTAAAAGGTATCATACTTGAACGAAACAGATGCCCTGTGTTCCGGCGTTTACAACAGTAGTCCGGTTAATCTAACTCCTAATTCTAGCCAACAGGCGAAACAGAATAAAAAAATCTTGGTCTTAGGTGCTGAGCATTGAAGGAAATAACTTAACGTCATAAACCATTATTGATAGTGACAAATGTTTACAGCTAACCACTGGTGAGAAATTAGTCTACATTTCTTAAACAAACTTTAGTAATTGACACACATTCAGAGGGTGAAACATCGATCTTTCGATACCATAATCAAAACCACAATCAAGTAGTTCTTTAAGCTAATGGTCAGTGTTAGTAAAGGAGAAGCCTGGGGTTTAGTCACCGATTTTATTCAAACAATAAGTATTTTACCGGCATTACTTAAACTATCAACTTCATGTGTATTATCATGAAGTTGAATTAGACTTATATATTTAGGTTCGGATGATTTTGAGATTGTTTTTACAAGGACTTGACATCATTTGGAGGACTACTATATATTAAAGATTCATAGAAATATATTTTGTCTTGTTTGTAGAATCATTATTAGTGTGCATCAACGACCTCACAAGAAATAAAGTTTTTTACTTTTATTTCTTTAAGAAACTATAAAATCCTAAGACCATTGAGTGATGAGATATCATTGGCAAAACAGCCCACTGTAGCTTTCTAGTTTTCAATGGTTTACTAAATGGTATGAGTCCTTAATTAATGCTGTTTTCACAATAAGATTTTCTTTAAAGTCATTTCTTTTGCCACTAATTTTTTTTAGAATCACCAACTTCGATTATCAGCTTCAGTGAAGCAACATCAATCTCTATCAGCGAGCAAGATGCATATCGGCATAATGAAGATGAAATCAAATTACATGGTCCATTGTTCTGTCAGTTCTATGGTAAACCAGTTTTAAATCAAATCAAATGGTGGAGGTATACAGGATTAAATTATCATGAACAAAATACACCAAATCAATGGGAGCTAATTTATAAAACTGAAAATTTTAACAAATCCATTCATATTGAAGTAAGTATGCTCTTACTAATCATTATTTTTACAGAATGGATATGAGTAGATTGAAAAGTGCTTTCCTATTCAGTCGATCACATTGAAGAGCCTATAAAACCATGTTGGTAATTTTGTTAAGTATGACAGCGAAATGTTTGCCAACTAAGATAATGTACATCTCAATCTGTTTATATTTGTTCCTACAATTAGTTAATCTCATACGAACTAGTGGTTATAGTTAGAAATATGGAACGTAAGTCTCATCTCCTTTAGAACTATTCATAGGTTAAGTGTAATAGGCTTACAAGTAATGTTAGGCAAACATTATTTGACACGTATTAAACTGTGGTCATTTCACTGATTTATTGAAATCGATTGACCTACAGTAAGGATCTACCGTCTAGTTCACTAGCGTATACAGTCTATTTATCCAAAACATGCTTAATAATCAAATAATTTATATTACTTGAATATCAATATACTCTAATGACTCAATGTATTCTACGTGACTATATCTAGCTTACTTACTTACTTACTTTCGCCTGTTACTCCCAATGGAGCATAGGCCGCCGACCAGCTTTCTCCAACCCACTCTGTCCTGGGCCTTCTTTTCTAGTTCTTTCCAGTTCTTGTTCATTCTTCTCATGTCTGTCTCTATTTCTCGGCGTAATGTGTTCTTTGGTCTTCCTCTTCTCCTTCGACCTTCAGGATTCCATGTGAGGGCTTGTCTTGTGACACAATTGGGTGATTTCCTCAAAGTGTGCCCAATCCACTTCCAGCGCTTCTTCCTGATTTCTTCCTCCGCTGGAATCTGGTTTGTTCGCTCCCACAGTAACTTGTTGCTGATAGTGTCTGGCCATCGGATCCGAAGTATCTTGCGTAGACAGCTGTTAATAAACACTTGTATCTTCTGGATAATGCCTTTCGTAGTTCTCCACGTCTCTGCCCCATACAGAAGAACTGTCTTGACATTTGTATTGAAAATTCTAACCTTGGTGTTGGTTGACAATTGTTTTGAGCTCCAGATGTTTTTCAGCTGTAGGTATGCTGCTCTTGCTTTGCCGATCCTCGCCCTCACATCTGCATCTGATCCACCGTGTTCATCAATGATGCTGCCCAGATATGTAAAGATTTCCACATCCTCCAAAGCTTCTAATTTTTCTGGTTAGCGTTTTTTTAGCGAGTTGATTTTCTACGGGATGGGGTCGCTAACCCCATGCCCAACCCTCCTCCTTTACCCGGGCTTGGGACCGGCAGTAGCCCCTGGAGGAGCTACAGGCGGAGTATGTGTATGTATGTGATGACTCATTCGTTTTTTTTTTTTACATAATATTGTGGAAAGTTAGTTATAATTGAAGATTCTGGCAACTACATTGCCAGAATCTTCAATTATAACTAACTTTCCACAATATTATGTAAAAAACGAATGAGTCATCACATAGCGAACTGCATGTTGGCTTACGTTTAAGTCTTAGTGAGGAGTAATTTATACACTGATCAACGGATAAATAAAATCGAATAAGCACCGATAAGTAAAAAGCTCGAGTGACGGGTTCCTTATTGTTTCACTACAAAAGTTCAACATTATTCACGATGGCCTAAAATTTTAAGTTACTTCATTCTTTAGTTTTTGTTGAAGACTAGAACGTGCTTTCATGTCGTGGTTGGAGTTAACTAACAGGAAATCATGAACCTAGGTTTTGTATTACTAGGCGCTCGTCAGCAAGTTTTATTTATAATCTTGAAGGGATTGTTGTTCTCTAATAGATTCGAAATCTTATTACTCAGTTTCACAGTCAGAAATAATACCAATGAGCTTTCATGGATTTAACTGACTTTCTGAAGGACTAAAATGTTTTTATATTTGACTAATCACTGGATATTGATCAACGTCTTGTATGTCACGTCTTTCTTAGTGCTGATCGAATCATGTCCATAAAATTGCAGTGTGCCCACTAATCTAAGAGACTAGAAACCGATTGCACTATGGTGAGATGTGGGGGGTGTTTGTAGTGCTAAATAGTACGAAACCAAGGTTTAGGGTTTCCTACTGACTACTATCCAGTGTCTAATTCACTGTAAACTAGAGTGAGTTGACATTTCACATTCGACTAAATAAAACTAAAAATGATCATTTATATATGTACTTGATCAGTGCTATATTCGAAATAAACCTCGTGAGCTTTACTGATAGAATAAATGCTCGAAACTGTTACTTTCTAACAATCAGTGTTTTTGAAAGTATTGAAATCAAGACCATTACCATTTCTTCATTAAAACGGGCTATTCAACTACTTATATATTTTTTGAGTAAAAATATCCTAAATGTTTCCATACATTTTTTCAGGAAACATCTAGTCTACTAATTATCACCGGGACTCCAGCATTCATCACTTCATCTAGATTTAATTTCACAATGTATGGAAGACAGTCAAGCTATGAGAATCTTGTTCACAACTTGGAAAAGATAACTTACAGATTTACGATGTTCACAATGCTGTGGTTGAAGAAATTTAATCATAAAGATTATGGATATTATAAATGTCAATCAAAAAGTGAAATCGGCAGTATTTCTGAAATTCATCGATTCCAGAGACCAAGTGAGGTCTTTTTTCGAATTCAAATCATATAAACTATTTTTAAATAAGTATTAATTATGCACGTGGTAATTTAGATTGATGGCCATTTATTCCGGGTATTAATTTGTATCTGTCTCTGTATAACTACTGTACAACACGTAATGGTGAACCCACAAAAGAACTGCTCTATAAAATGCATTTTAATCACGAGTATAAAAAATACATATTTATCCGTCCGAAAGTTTATGTGTTGTCTTACATGTCTTTAGAACAGTTTGAATCCTTTAGCTTAATATGTAGATTACCATATTGGGATATCATGATTCGATTAATGGAAATCAGTACGATTAAAAATGCAACTCAAGGAAACGTAAAATTCTTTTTTCATACATTTTGAATATCTATTATTGATAACACTGTCAATTCCTTATTAACTTGTAAACATACAACAAATTTGACGATTTGTCTTTCATATTATTTACTAACTTACTGACGGTTGTTGCCCTCCTGGGGCATAGGCCGCGGACCAGCAATCTCTAATTAACTCTATCTTGAGCTATCCTTTCTAGCTATTGCCAAGTTTTATTCATCCCCTTGATTTCTGCCTCCAAATCCTGGCACAGTGTGCCCTTTGGTCAGCCTCTCTTCTCTCTCCTTTGAGGATTCCAAGTAAGAGCTTGCTTTGTGATGCAATTTGATGATTTCCACGATGTATTTCCTATTTATCCCCAGCTTATTTTCCTAATTTACGCCTCAACTGCCATAGGTTGTTGCTGATGTTGTATGATCAACAGATCTGGAGTATCTTGTGTAGAAACTTATTTACAAATGCCTGTACTGCTTTGATTATGGTTGAAGTGGTTTTCCACGTTTTAGATATTCGCTATTGAACTGCCTTGACATTCGTATTGCAAACTCCGAATTTGTTGTCTGCTGACAAGCGGTCACCTTGAGTCCCAGACAAACTTCAACTGTAGTAATGCTGTGGTGTGGTCTACTTATATCCATATAAGTAGTATATGGTGTTGGTCAGACATACAATGCATTTTGGCAGAAGACCGATGAGCATAGAACTGAAATGAAGGGCAATCGTTTGGAAAATGCATGAGCAATGGAATAAGAGAAGAAACAGTGAAGATTGAAACAATTGGTTGTTAATTTGCAAATTGACTGTTCATTGTATGGTTTTCAGAATTTACTGAGATTACTTACTTACTTACTTACGCCTGTTACTCCCAATGGAGCATAGGCCGCCGACCAGCTTTCTCCAACCCACTCTGTCCTGGGCCTTCTTTTCTAGTTCTTTCCAGTTTTTGTTCATTCTTCTCATGTATGTCTCAATTTCTCGGCGTAATGTGTTCTTTGGTCTTCCTCTTCTCCTTTGACCTTCAGGATTCCATGTGAGGGCTTGTCTTGTGACACAATTGGGTGATTTCCTCAAAGTGTGCCCAATCCACTTCCAGCGCTTCTTCCTGATTTCTTCCTCCGCTGGAATCTGGTTTGTTCGCTCCCACAGTAACTTGTTGCTGATAGTGTCTGGCCATCGGATCCGAAGTATCTTGCGTAGACAGCTGTTAATAAACACTTGTATCTTCTGGATAATGCCTTTCGTAGTTCTCCACGTCTCTGCCCCATACAGAAGAACTGTCTTGACATTTGTATTGAAAATTCTAACCTTGGTGTTGGTTGACAATTGTTTTGAGCTCCAGATGTTTTTCAGTTGTAAGTATGCTGCTCTTGCTTTGCCGATCCGCGCCCTCACATCTGCATCTGATCCACCCTGTTCATCAATGATGCTGCCCAGATATGTAAAGGTTTCCACATCCTCCAAAGCTTCTCCATCAAGTGTAATTTGATTGGTGCATATTGTATTGTATCGGAGAGTCTTGCTTTTCTCTTTGTTTATATTGAGACCTACTGCTGCTGAGGCTGCTACTACACTGGTCGTTTTCTCCTGCATTTGTTGTTGCGTTTGTGATAGAAGAGCCAGATCATCCGCGAAGTCCAAATCGTCAAGCTGCATCCTGCCTGTCCACTGTATCCCGTGCTTTCCTCCAGTTGTTGACGTCTTCATAATCCAGCCGATCACCAGGAGAAAGAGAAAGGGTGAGAGTAGGCAACCTTGCCTAACACCGGTCTTTACCTCGAACGAGTCGGTGAGTTGTCCTCCGTGGACGATTTGGCAGTTTAGTCCATCATAGGAGTTCCGTATGATGTTGACTATCTTCTCAGGCACGCCGTAGTGTCGAAGAAGCTTCCATAGTGTCGTCCTGTCCACGCTATCAAATGCCTTCTCGTAGTCGATGAAGTTGATGTACAGTGATGAATTCCATTCGATTGATTGTTCCACAATGATACGTAGAGTTGCAATTTGATCTGTGTACGATCTATCCTTACGAAATCCAGCTTGTTGATCTCGAAGTTGGGCGTCCACGGAATCCTTCATCCTGTTTAACAATACTCTGTTGAAGACTTTTCCTGGTATTGAGAGAAGAGTGATGCCCCTGTAGTTGTCGCACTTGCTAAGATCGCCTTTCTTTGGTATCTTGATGAGAAGTCCTTCTTTCCAGTCTGTTGGTACATGTTCTTCGTCCCAAATCTTACTGAAGAGGATATGGAGTATCTTGGCAGTTGCTGTTACATTTGCTTTCAGTGCCTCCGCCGGGATGTTGTCTGGTCCCGCTGCTTTGCCACTCTTGATTTGTCTAATGGCCATGCTGATCTCTTCAATTGTTGGTGGGCCAATATCGATTGGGAGGTCTGTGGGTGCTGCTTCAATGTTGGGTGGGTTCAGTGGTTTCAGAATTTACTGAGATAGTCTGTAATTTTTGCTTAAATGCATACGATTGTCCCCAATCAGTGTTCTGTTCACTGCAATGCTATCTATGCCTCACCAATCCATGACTCTGAATATGATCAGACCCTCCTTGTTCATCAGTTACGAAGTTAAACGTTCCACCTCTTATCCACTCAAATGCTTTCTCATAGTAAAGGAAATTGATGTATAGTGACGAATTCCATTCAAATGATTGATCGACGATGATATGTAGCGCCATGATTTGGTTGATACACGATCAAAATTTAGTTTATTGGTCTTGAAGTTCAGTGCCTACTGAATCTTTGATCTGGTTGAGCAACACTCTATTTAAAGCCTTTTCTCGTACCACTAGTAATGTGATACATCTGTCTTTTTTACACTTGCTCAGATCTCTTTTCTCTGATATCTTGATGAGTTTTCCTTCTTTACAGCCTATCTGTGGCACTTGCTCCTCCAAAATCTTCCTGAATAGAATATGGAGCATGCTTGGTCAGATGGTCAGATCGTTTCCAGAGCACTTCGCTATGACTGATTGCAGCCTCTCGTAAAACTCTCCTCTACCGTCATCACTTCTATCATTGATGTCTTTATAACACTGAATAACATTGATTGTGATCTCTTCCATCCTTTTTTGAAGAATGCTTTGGCGATCTTGAATAAATGAGATTCTCATTCTATGTGCGTTTCGCATGCTTGTTTGGAGTGCATTAGCGCAAGTCCTTGTATGCAGAGCATTTTCTTCTTCGTGATCAGAGAACAGAAGCATCTCTCCCGAATCTAACCTGTTCTGTTCAACTTGGGTCCAATGGTTTTCATTCATTCTGAGAATTGCGAAATTATATCTTCTCACTTTCACATGAACTTGAATGGTCTTTCCAATCTCCTACATTGTGCAGACATTCTATGTACCCATTTTGACCGTTACTCTAATTGTTAGAAGGGGCAACAGCTTCGTGATTTCCAGAAAATCTAGGCATTCTCCATGAGGTGTCATTACTCTTCAAAGTGAAAAACCTTCAAATTTCAGATAGAGTTTAAATGATTAAAGTTCTCCTCTGTGGGATAGAGTCTCTAACCATACGTTTAACTTTTTTCCTTTACCTGGGCTTGGGACAGGCAGCAACCATAAATGGTCTCTAGTTGGAGTTTATCGTCTATTTCTATACCATTACATATTGTTTGTTTTGTAGCTTCTCCTCAGGCTATCACTAAATTATATCATATTAAGTCAACGTCGACATCGGCAACTATATTTTGGAAGCCAGGTGGATATCATAGTTCACCAGTGAATATTTCGTATCAAGATCTGCGAAACGATTCCGTCAATAAAATTCGAAATAAAATTCAAAATTTATTATCCATTTGGCTTAAAAAAATTCAGGATATGCAACAATATTCTATTAGTTTGGAAGATCATGGAATTACTTCATTCTTAACGAATGGGACCGAATCACATTTACTAGAGCTTTCCAAATCACTGAACAACTCAGATATCTTTAATGGTCCATTTTCAGGTCGTTCAAGTGACGTTGATCTATCAAATATCAAAGGAAGAAAAACAAACAATAGAAAGATAGTACAAAGCGAATTTCTAATCAATACTGAAGGACAAAACTATATCAATATAAGTGGTAAGAAAGATCATTTGAAATGAATTAATTAATTAGTTCGATTTATTTTCGTTCTTGTCTGTATAAACACGACTAAATATCGGGGTTTCCTTTTGGCCTACAACACTTTATAATTATGGAATGATTGTACCGTTTTAATATGAAAGGTTCTATTACTTACTCGATGACGACATCTGATACATAACAATTCAACAACTCGCTGCTAATACTGAAAGAAAGGGTAGGAGCAACTAGATATTTGAATAGGATAGTTTAGTATGGATAGTGACATAAGAATGACCTTCAAGCACAGAAAGTAAACGAATCAATTGAACAGGAAAGGTCAAAGGTTATGTGAAAAAATAAATTATGAATAGCATTAACAGTTAACTTTATTAGTAAGAATTTAATACTATCAACTGAAAATTCTGCTCCCTGAACTCTTGTTACCGACTTCCTAGCCGTTTCTTATACTTGTAGTTGGAAGATAAGGGCCTCAAAATAAGAGTGGAAGCTTCACTCCAAATTTGATTTACAAACATTGTGACTTTGGTCTTTCAGAAACTTCTGTAAGCACACAAAACGTAGTTAAAACATGGGCAATTATCTAACAAAGAACCTTTATTTTTTTAGATGTTTCTCAAAGGCGTTTATTCAATACTAATTGTATAAAATTTTGCCAACATTTTTTCTTGTCGAGTGATGTATGTGAACCTTCAATATTGACATAAATTGACCAACCTTTTGGTCACCTTATCAATTTTATTAAGTCATTTAGCTACTGAATTTTTAAGTTATTCATGACTTCAGTCCTATCAAAAATCTAACTGTAGCTTTGAACGTTTGGAAACAACAATCAGTAACTAAAGCCATATTTTCCTTTTACCTTATGAAATGGACTGTAGCCATATGATAGGTACTAGTAACATTTTGTTTATCAATTTTAATGTTAATATTTAAGATCCGAAATATCACAGAATCATTATAGTTTTCTGGTTCTTTTGAGGGAAATTTTAATTTAAAAAGAAGAAAGGTGGGATCATACCGATGGTTAGAACTTTTACTCATGTTATATCCAATATTTAATCATTAAAAAGAGTTTAGCAGAACATGATACGAAGACCGATTTGTTCAACTGTTACAGATACTATTAGCCCTTAAACACAGAAAGTAAATCGAATATTAATGTCAATAAGAATAAAGCCATATAATATCTGTTCACCAGTTTTTAAAACTCTTTGGACTCTATTGAGTTCAAGAACCAATGATTTTATGGTTTAAAGCCCATCTTCATCTGATCAACGCTGATAATTGGTCATCAACCGAGGTGAAGAACTATAAATTAAGTGAGATAAGGATTATCATATTTGATTGATTTTATACCTATGGTTTTAACAGACCAAATATCTCTCTTATGTTAATAATACTAGACTTGAGCCTCTCTAAAATAATGTATTTATTTACTTTTACTAAGTTTAGTACATCCATCTATCACATGTGGGCTTAATTTGCCTAAATGTTTATTTTGTTTCACGACATGTTACTTAATATTACTGAGTAGTTTGAGTATATTCATTCATTTATATGTAACTACACTGTGTTGCGTCCTGCAACGAAATATCTGTCCTATCATTGTATAACTCTAATTCGATGTCCTATCTAATTCATTTACTTACTTACTTTATATTCGCACTTTTATCCTTATCTGGTTTCCAAGTTCACTATTTATTCTGAAAGTGCCTTGAATGGTCCCTCAATTTTCGTGTCGGACAGTGATGATACTGAGGCTTTGTGTATAAGTCTACGGATTGTATCTATGACGTTATATAATCTTACTCCTATTTACATGAGTAAAAACTCAATAACCCTCTCACTATATTTCTAATGCATTAACTGACACTGCTATACTTTAAGAATTTCCAAATTCTTAATTTTTCTCATAATAGGACAGAATAGTCAGATAAGTTAATCCTGACGGTTTAGGAATTCATTCACTTGGTGCGAATTATTGTACAGTATCTACAATACTAAATATTAAATCCTGAGTATTTTATGGCATCTGTAGTACTGTGTTTTTAAGTCCTTCTTAGTTTGGAAATTTGTTTGACGTTTTTATGTTTAAATAGATATGAAAATAATCGATTATCTGTTTTTAACAACCTATCTTTATACCAGGTTTAATGCCAAATCACTTGTATACCGTGACAATTTCAAGAATAACTAAACATGGAAAAAGTAAACCATCTAGGCCACTGGCTTTCAGAACAAAATGTAAGTTAAATGTACCACTAATACATAAAAAAATAGTTGTATTGATAACGCAAGATTAAAATAAGGGCTTTTTGAAGTACTCTCTCTTAAACATACGATAAAAAACCGTATTCAAGACATAAACGTAAGTGGAGAAAACGCATTTAGGCATATTACACTGTTAATAAAATCCAATAAATGTTTTGTATCAAACATTACTACCGGTTTTTAACTCCTTAGATAACTCACATGTTTTATAATCAAGAAAATTAGTATTACTTATTAAGCTGTATCCTATCTTACTTTTGATTTTTTCCATATCGAAAGTACTGTTGAGAAACAGTAAACAAAGAAGAAACGTGGTAGTATAGAGTTTAATTCGTGTATTTGAACTAATTGTTTCAGAAAGATTTCAGAAACTGCAATTAACTGGTTCAAAGAATAACAACACAAACAATATACATTCTAATAAGATCAAATAATTAATATCAACTAGTAAGAAATTAAATTACATCCATAACTGTTATATCTCGAACTTAGATTCTTAGTATGTCGCGTAATACTTGAGCCCTCGAACGGTAGAACCTTCCCAAGTCACAAAATGAGAAAACAAAAGACAAGTAAGTATGAATGTTATTACCAAAACAGTGTCAAATATAGTACAAAAATCTTATCTATTTATAGTTTTCGGATGAAAGTAAATCATCAATTCGGATAGCCAATAGGCACATAGAGGCACCTTCTTATTCAACCAATAGGAGAGCTGCACATCGAAATTCCAGTATGTTTCCCTAGCGGTGATTAGATGGAATGTCTTCGAATCTTTCTGGGCTTATCAAGGCTTCCTTAAGTTTGCCAACGAGCCATCCTAACAATAACATGAACAAAATTCGATAAATAAACTTAAGTCTATAGTTGTCTAGCTTATAAGTGTCCTCGAAAATAAAATTTTCATGATTTTTGTGAAAAAGCTCAGATCAAAACATGGTGATAAAAATTGAAATTCTTTACTTCGGCTTTCAAGATCTCCGCAAATGTAATTTTGTACCAAATTATTAGCTATAGCTCTGCTAATAGTCTTTACTTGACTATGATTTCTATAAAAAACAGTATACTAACAAGATACTGAGTCATGTGGTTATTTCAATCTAGATTAATAACAAATAATTAAGGATTTAGTGTAAAGGAAATAGCTGCCTTCTGAACAACCATAATATGAAGGTCTACCACCGAATATTCAGTTTTGTTCACCGATTTACATGTTGGTGAACACTTACACAAAGAAGAATAATCGTGAATTGCGAATAAAAGTGGGTAAACATGTACCAAAATATTCTCAAAGATTGGAAAAGTAGTTTAAATATCCCCAAGGAATATTCAAACATATGGAATATTATCACAGATGATCGTCTCCAATAGCTTCTTCCTCAGGATCTACAGTTATTAATCCAAGATTATTATGGTGTTACATCAAAAAAAACATTGAAGTTGAATGAATCCATGGTATAAACTGAAATGAAAAATTTCACGTAGATTCAATCTTAAATACCACAGATTACTAGTGAAACAAAATAACATCACCAGTCGTGTTGAGAAAAGGTAATACATGAAGAATCGAAGATACTAAATACCTGAATTAGGGTAATGGGTTCTAATCAATAAGATAAAATTGCATGTAAAATCTAATTCATACAAAATGTGGATTGTTCTGTCATAGTTGTTGTGATAGTAATAACAACAAGAATATCATGTGAAATAAGAAAGATGAATGTACAACTAAGGATAATAGGAACTGTCTTGTAAGGGAGTGTGAATCGTACAGATTGGTGAAAGGACGAAATTGTATCTATGAATGAAACGACCCTAATGTGTGGCAAGTTATACAAAGAGTATGTATATATAACTGTTTTGTATATGTAAGTTAGATTTCTTTGAGTTGATACCAATTGCTTCAGCTATATAGAATAAGCGTAGTATCGCGTCTGTTGGTAGACCATTAAGAGGTTAACAGATAACTGAGAAAGAATCTTCAATTTTAATTTTGTGTATTTTGTCAACAGAGTGGGAGAGAATAACATTAACTATACATTTTGTAACACGTTTTCCTAACCATACCAAAACGCGTTCACGAGCGCACAGGTACGAAGACCTTTGGGTGCGGCTAATGTAACTAGCTCACAAAAATAGATAAATTGGCAAACAAATACAGATGGTCCCATTACTAGTATTCCATCAATAATTTGCTGCCTCAGACTTGGTTTCTTTGAAAAAGTCAGTTGTTATTTGGCAGCATAACAAGTCATTTTGAAGGATCTGCTTAATCGACATGTTACAATTCCACTCTCTGTATCACCTTTGAAATAACGTATTATGTATAAATATTTTCTGAACCACGAAAGTTCACGCCCTTCTGTTAAATCTAACTATTTATTGTCTCATTAAATTACTAAGTTATTCATTTCGTAGTTTGTCTTACTTTTTCAGTAATTTCCACAGAACAAAGAGAGAAAACATTGACCTACTAATCACGTAAATCTTAGTTAGCTGTAGTCCAAAACCGATACCACCCACAAATACTCCTATTTTAATTTCTTTAGTCATGCTTTGGTGATTATACTTGTTATAGTTGATACTTAAAAGTAATGGTTCTTTACAAAGTACTAGGTCTGATTGTCAGCGCATGTCAATCAGGACAACAATCTGCAGTAGAAATTACATTTTAATGTAACTTAATTTCAACCAATTTAGTTGCATTTGATAGACATATAGTAGTAACATATACATGATTTGTCCTGTATATTCTCACATTTCTCTCTCACAATCTAAGAATTATATTTCAGAAGTGAATGTGAATAAATTGAGAAAATTATAAGTGCTCATCTTATATTTGCGTTTATTTCATAGTGTTGTTCCATATCATGACAACTCCAGTTAAAGACAATAATCAGGAAACCTTGTTTGACCTTAGTTTTATTCTAATTGTCACACTTCAGTAAAGGTTTTTGACGTAGTTCTCTGAGCTGGGTGGTTTGGTCGTGGAGCTTTCATCGTCCTTCTGAACGACATCATCAGCACAAACTTCGGGAAGAAGTCTGCATAGTTCCAAAGATCGCTACTCGCTTCCAGAGCTATTCTAAGGAAGAAGAAAGGCGAGACTAAAGAACATGGACGACCTTTGAACGAATCTTAAATGACCTTGAGAAATATTAGCCAATCAGAATACAGTGAGCATACAGTAAAAATATATTATATAAAACTCAAAAATTAAAGGGGATACTGTTCTTTTACATGAATCAAAAACTTATCAAGGTCAGATATAGGTTCAGAAGTTCTAAAATCATAATGCATCTGATACAGGAACTCATCCATGTGGCTCCATAGTAGTCGACCTCTGGAACCATGATAAAGTCCCGAAAATTCTTTCAGCCTCGACCACATAGTTTCAGTGTTGGCGGTATGTTGGTATGGTTTAGGGTTTAAGATTAGGGTTACGGTTTAGGGTTAAAGATGAGACTATGAGCGACGCTAGAGTGAATCTGAGAGTGTCAACGTAATAACTAAGACTGAATGAGGGTTATAAACCCGTGTGAAGAATTCAAATTATGATTTACATTCTTGGTTAAGGTTAGGAATTATACATAGGGTTTTCATCACGAACTGACATCAGCTATAATGCCACAACTCTATCCAAATGTATAATTGAATTTTGCGCCAAAATCTTATGATAACTTCTTTTGTAGACGCTTAATTATCATGTTTTCTCTAAAATCCGTTGTAAACCGACCGCACGTAAGCGTCAGGTACCGAACTTAGCGCCGTGACCTTGAAAACCCGCGAAAGCTTCTGATTGGCTCGTCCATGTTCTTTAGTCTCGCCAGAAGAAAAGTAACAATATATCTCTCAACAATATTAACACTTTATTGAAAGTGAAAACTAATTATGCCTTAATAACAATATCTAAGAACAAAACATTGTTTTCATTTTATTAAAACACTGAAATAATTGAATAACAACGTGTTTCGCCTTAATACGTATCACCTGATAGTTCAAGATTATGGATTTGTTGATTGAATAAACATCAGAATAATATACAAACATCTTGATCTATTCAATAATAGCATGATTTTTCTAATTAGTAAACAATTTGAACTGTGATCATCAGGCGTCTTCTAAAATAAAACAAAAAAAAAGACTTTTAAATGTTCTATTATGTTTTGTAACTAACAAAAGTATTTCTATTTGTTAATGTTTAAAACACCTGATTACCATAGTAGATAATTTGAACAAATTTTAAGATGAAAAAGTAATAACACAAAGATATACGAATAAAGATCTTTCAAGAAAGAACCTTATTTAATTTGACGACACTATTCGCAGAATACGATGAATTCATTGTATTTCGTTACCTTCTCTTTAATTATATACAAGCTAATATGTTTAGTTATTTCCATAACATACACTATGTTGGAAGATGAATAGTTGATCGACAATGAATTAGTAATATGTAATGTGGAGGAAGCTGGGAATAAAGGTTTGAAAGGGGCTTTATTTATAATTATCCAAGTTAATAGTTCTAGAATAGTAAAATGATTTTATTACATAATATAACAAAAAATCTGAGAGTATAGATAAGAAGTGAGGTCGTATGAATTTACTATACTAGATTATGATTACAATTACAATTACGTAACTGAATTGTTTTAATACGCTATAACTACTGATCAACATGAGTAATTATATGAAGGGTCCCTTTAAAACTTTAATTTTTAATTTCTTTCACACTATACATAACTTACTCGTTATTGATTGATAATTCAGATTTTTAAATTTAATATAAAACGGTGGAAAAGATTTGTAGCTCAGGTGGATGATTTTGGTGGAGTTTTGTTCGCTGAACTGGATGGTTTGATCATTGTTCTTCTGGACGACATAATCAACATAAACTTCAAGTGATAGTGAAGTGTTCGAACTTTACCACATATGGCTCACAGCTTCTCTTGTAGACCTCAATCTTCATTGGTTATTGTCGATCTTTAACCTATCATTGATTGCGTTTATTGACTGAACAACAAACACAATGAAATCGATCCCATTGAGATGGTGGAGAATATCTGTAACTCAGGTGAATGGTTTTGATTGAGTTTCGTTCTCTGAAAGCTGCACAACGGAACTATCCAGCTCAGAGAACAAAACTCTATCAAAATCTATCCAGTTTGTCAACCAATCAGAAAAATATAGGACCAAGAATCAAATCAATGAGAGATACAATCAGAATAAAGACGTAAACAATGATAGGTTAAAGATCGACAATAACCAATGAAGATTGAGGTCTACAAGAGAAGCTGTGAGCCATATGTGGTGAAGTTCGAACACTTCACTACTTCTTGAAGTTTGTGTTGATGATGTCGTCCAGAAGAACAATGACCAAACCATTCAGTTCAGCAAACAAAACTTCACCTTAATAGAAAGTAAGTGGATGAAGTAGTTTGATTTGTATCTGAATGTCTTCTGTCACTTAAAAGATCCGGCTTCTAACAACCTTCAACAACTCCTTCTTCGCATTATTGTTGAGAATGACTGGTGATATTTAGCTTTATGTTTTGCTCGGATTGGATGAACTAAGATAGAACTGTTATCTGTCCCAATTATACCTTTTTTGATCTCACTGAAATGTACTCACGAGTAAAACGAAACAAGTCTCTAGAACAAGAGCAAAAAATCTTCCCGTCTAGCCTGCTTGTTATTTAGAGGTATGTAACAGTCATTACTTTGAAACGAAAACGAACTTAACTATTGAAAAGGTTGAATTATTTAATAAAAGCAGTATTTTCTCAAAGCATTTAGCTTTCAAAATTTCAAAAGAAATAAGTTCATAGTGCTTTGAATAAAAATAACTATAATTTGGAGTTCAAACACATACATTCAGGTGATATCTATACTTGTTACGAAATCTCTAGGCAGATTCCAACTCAACGAGTCGGTTACGTCTGATTCCTTAAACCAAGAGATTGAGCTATTATTAAAAAGCAATATCACGTCGATGAATTTTCAAACCGTATGTCTGCTAGTAATACTCGGCTGCAAGGACATTATAGCCTCAGTTAAGAAGAGAGTTTGCCCTTCAAATAAGTGGATGTGAATAAATTCACAGTATATTCAACAAACACTACATAATAAGCAGAGATGGATAGTGGCTAGCAGTGGAATCCAGGACGCGCGTTTCGAGGGTACTGGGTTCGAGTCCCAGAGCGAACATCAACTCTGAGATGCAGGTACATCCAGCTGACGAGTCCCAAATAGGACGAAACGCGCGTCCTGGATTCCACTGCTAGCCACTATCCATCTCTGCTTACCATGCTTGTGAATTAAGGTATATCGAGGCAATACGCACAGTATGCACATATGCCAATTAGAGACTGACCAGTTGCAGTCCTAAACACATCGATGGGAAGATCCAAACAAACAATACTAAGTGAATTCAAACACTACATAACTTTGCCAAACGAGTAATATTAATTAATATAATCAATAGCCTTTTCAGTATAAACAGTATATCGAAAAGCAATACATATTTCATAGACAAAAAGGAATAAATTCCATTCTGGGTGCGGAAATAAGCTGGTAGATTAAAATAATAACTCGATTGTTGCGCATTTACCTTTCATTGACTCCAAAATGCGTGTTAAACATTGCATACAAGAAAATTGTTGGATGTAAAGTAGCTACTGAATATAATTAAGTAGCATGACTCAATACACAAAAATAATAGGGAAGAAAAGGATGTTATGACTTAGGGACTACCATGCAGTCAATTCAGTGTAGTTTTCCAATGAGCCGTTTATAAAGCCAACAGATATTGAACGCGTAGTTTCGAAAGCCGAAATGGTAGTTATGTGTTCTTTAAATGGTTAAAAATGTTGTAGTATTATTCCCCGAAAAGACTTTTTTTCTATCTCCATTGCTTAATTTTATCTGGGATAGTTTTAGTAAAAACTTAATGATGTCGTGTTACAACTGAGAAGGTTAGTAGTTCGCTTCAACCAAATGTTTACGTAGGTAATGTGAACTATTTATGTAAACGTATTACAGATTCATGTGAATATAAAAATAGTGACAATTCTTATATGAAAACAATTATCACTTAATTTGTGCAGCGACCAAACTATCGTAAATTTTGGGTTGGAAAACGTACTATCTACTGTGGAATCATCTCATATCTGTAGCTCTCTTCACAAGAGTGCCTAAGTTTTTTAATGCAAATAACGTATACTGATTTTGCAATTGTTTAGTTTCTGTGCTCATCAGTGTTGAACCCGGATAAACTCAGTTTATAAATTCAAAAAGACTAAATTGCTCTACTACGTACCTTAAAATAATCATCCTTAAACAAAATATTTCATAATTTCAACAAAATGTCACATATATCGTATAATCCACTGCATATGGATTTTAAAGATTATTGCAAATATCGTATTTATTGAATGTTCTTTCAATGTTTTGTCTTACATTTTTTCTAAAGTTTTTCACCTTGAACCTCCGGGTCCTATACATTTAGAAGAAACTAAAGAATTAATACAATTTTCCAAAGGAAATCCAGCTCTCTGTGCTCAAGTCGAAGTAGGTACAATCAACAATGATAGTAGTAGAAGTAGTACGACTACTACTACTACTACTACTACTACATGGAATTCAATACACTTTTCATTAAATTATTCACCGTATATCATTATAAATAATAATGTATTCCATTCTGAAACGAACAATCGATATGTGGAGTTAAGTAATTGTAAACCATTATCATGGGATCACTATACTGAAATTCCAATTAGGTTACAAAATAAATTTCATTTTCGAGCAAGATATTGTATTTATGGATATAGTACAATGTGTACAGAATATATGAAACCGATCAAAGGTAAGGTTTAATTTGAAAGTTTGGTATTTCTATTGTAGTATCGGTTTTTATGTTAAGCCCATATACTTCATTCTAACTACTGGCCAAGCCAATTTACCTATATATTATGAGTCATATTTTGATCTTGTTAATTATTCGCTTATTAACCTTGACTACTATTTTATATGAGCGTATGTGTATGCACACTTCGTATCTTATTCAACATATGTCTGTCATTCATTTTTGTCTGGCTATAAACGTTGATTAACGCTTGCTTGAAATGAGTTGGCTTCTCCGCCATCTCCAATACGTGTCATGTATGATTCGCTCGCCAACATATGATTATGTCCTCACAGTTTTCTGGTCTTCGTTATTTATCAGTAAAAATGCAGTTGCCGCCTCTCTTTGCCTTCTGATATTAAGCACCGTTAAGACTTGTACCATAACGGTTATCAAGATGAACTATTAACGAAGTACGGCACTACACTATTAAAAACGTTATCTTTAGAATATATCATGGAAAAGATATTTTTTGGTTAGAACTAACATATAATAGTGGTTCAGGTTCCGTTTGATAGTTTATCCATGGCAATATTTACATCATCCCATATGAGTAAAGAAGACTTATTAGCAAATTGTATACATATTCACGAATTGAGACAAAATAAACATTTGGAATTAAAACGTATGAACAAAGTACACATCTACTTTTTCTACACACCATTGTAGTTTGCTAAATATGGTAACTACTTTAAAGTAATTTCAAGCTGTTTAAAATTAGTAATTCGTACACAATCGTTTTGTTCCTATATTCTTCAAACGGATGTTATAGTGAGGAGTAATGGATGATCAGTGCTAAAGTAAGCCGAAATAGGATGGAACAGCTTGACATTACTATCTGGTCTTCATTGGGTTTTCAATTGATATCAATGTGAAAAATTGCTTTAAAACCTAGTCATAATTACTTGCTTGAATGATAAACTTACTAAAGCAGTTGCTTTGAAAATTGCTGCTTCTCATCTAAATGTTTACAACTACTCCATATAGTTTATTTGCTTCATCTGAAAATAAACTCACTTAAAGAAAGATTGTGTTTATAGTACCGTGTTACAACGTAATATGCAAGTTTAGTTGTGTTATTGATCACCTGAACTGAAATGATTTTGTGATCAAATGATGGTTGATCACAAAGCATGGATTATCAACATTATATCTCTTCACATTGAAAAGATATAACAGGTCAACAAAAGTGATTCAACATATCTAACGGAGTCGTTTACTAATACAAACTTTGAAATTGGTTAAAATCAATTTAGACACACCTATGATTAAATAATAAGAGTATTAGCTTAAATCTATTTTACGTACTCAATGATTTAGGTTTACAAATTCATAAGGAGATAGTATACTCTATAATATTTCGTTTTATGCTACAGCTAAGATAACTGAGTTCATTGAGTAACATCTTGAAATGATAAAGTTTAGTGAGTTCAAACATGAGTCCTCAAATTTCAACTAAATAAATTTTAGAAAGCAAAATCATTAACCAACTAGCAAAGTATATAAGCATATATTAAGACAATTCAGTCATTATTCGTATACGTAATATTTGGACAGAATTGTATAACTATTAGTAAGTTGTGAACCAGTAAAATTTATTTATCCAACTTAAATAATATGATAACTTATAGAAACTAAGTCGAGTATCAATGGCAGTTAACAGATGTATTCCAAGTGAAGACCGGCATCAGACAAGGTCGCTTACTTTCCCCCTTCCTCTTTCTTCTATTGGTTGACTGGATTACATAAACATCAACATCTCAGGAGAAGCACAGAATACAGTGAACAGGATAGATGCAGTTGGACGATTTGGAAATCGTCGATGACCTCAACCTTTTATCCCACTCACAGCAGCAACAGAGTTCGATGGATATGTTTATCTCAAACATAGTAGTTCATATCATTTAACTACTCTACAAAAGAGAAAATGCATGAAAACCAGTTAGCTGTGACAGATGCAATCAATGTTTACAGATAGTATTATTGATGATAAACAACAAACACCTTCAATTGTCCCTGATATCAAGATTTAATCAATCCAAAAGTAGTAGTGCATTTACCAATTCACATGTACGTGCCGTAGCACATACATTGGAAGAACTGAGAGAAGAGTACAGGTTCGCATTTCTGAGCATATTCCGAAAAACTTGACGCTGCGAGGGACTAAAGCTTTTAACAGCGCAATAGCTCGGCATCTACTTGACACCGGGCATACCGTCGATATTATGTGCGCGTTTAAAATTATCAATAGACAAAGAACCACCACCACTCTCCGCTTTGCTGAAGCCATTGCAATTAAGAAACTGAAACCGGACTTATGCATCCAAAAAGAGACTTTAATAAACTTATCACTACCCTGGTAATCCTTTTGTTTCTGTTTGTTTTGTGTTTTGGTTATTTTATTCATTTACTTATTCTAAGATAATTTTACACTCCCCCCCTATTGCCTAATTCTTAAAATAAATTTTATTCACACATTTCCACCACCTGATCCTCTTAAATCATCTTAACTTAATTATTATTACGTAATCTACCTTATCATTAGTCAATTCCATTAATCTCTACAATTATCACACAATTTATGAACTTCACTAAATTATTACACCACCCACCCTGGATTAACCTCCCTCTTTTGACCTCTGACCTGTTTCTACCATATATATATAGTTATTTTTGTAATCACGTTATTTACACTCATTTATGTCAATTGTTTCACACTATCTTCATGTAAAAATTCTATCACAATTTTGGTTTGTAAGCAGCTGACGAGAAACCTCGAAATAATATGAATTCATACTATTCTGCATCAATGTTTGTTCTTGCTTTATTCAAAAGTAGTACACCTGTTAAACCTATTCGTCCATTCATATTATGCGAAGACATAGTATATGAGCATGTATTAAGACAATTCAGTTATTATTCGTACACCAAATATTCCGACAGAATTCTATGACTATAAGTGAATTGTGAATTAACAAATCAATGAACAAGTGTAGAAATAAAGGTTACAAAATAATTCATAATTATTTACTTCTATAATGCATAAGACCACTTACCAACTGACTTATATTTTTACTGTTTACTATACAAGTAAACAAAAATGAAGTATTGAATTTAACAATCTTCTTTATTGTTTGTTCTTTGTCTTGCTTAAAAAACAAACAATATTTGTATTATTAAAAAACAGAAATATTTCTATTGAAGAACGTATTCAGAATAGATTGAGATCTTACGATTTGCTTATAGCACACGTGGCATTAGTAAATAAGTCAACAAATTGTACTATTAAATAACATTTCTAATTGAATACAGATAGAATTTGTGAGATTATATGAACATGTCTACGGTATAGTAGTTCTGTCAGTCAGTGTTTAGTATGTTCTCATCAAAGTGTTTGGAATTCAAATATAGTTATATTTAGTTTCTCTTCATATTATCTACTGTTGATCAAGTAGACTAAGTAGAAACATACAATTATTAGCTGATCGTAAATGGAAGCAGATGGAAGCAGATCGCCATATCATACATATTGTCATATAAGATTGTAGTTATATGAAAGGATGGGTTTCTTTATAACTGTGACTTGACACTTCACGTTGTCTAGTGAATAATGCAGACGGTTTATATTGATATTTGAGTTGATAGAATATTAGACATATTCTGAGATGTGTTCAAGCTACCAACCACTACCTTAAAGCTATTGATAAACTTGTTCCTAATTCAAACAGATATTTTATCTGTAGATCATTGATTTTCTTAATAGTTAACACTTAGAATAAATACTGGTTAAGACATATATAGCATTATACAACTCTGAGAAAAGATTCAGCTATTATTCACAATGACACAGCGTGTATTATCGTGATTAAAGCTTGATATTGTTTAGATTATCAATGTTTTGTTTGATCACACAATGAAACATTTCAATGATGACAACTGAGTGTTTAGAGAAAAACTTTGATCTTTTGCCGACTAGATGGAATCGAGGATAAATTCGCCATTCACAATTATATTCATGTATCTTATGTGTGAGAACACATAATTAGCACATTTTTTGTGATATCGCGCCACTGGCTAGCTCTAAAATGCAAGTTATGATGACGTTCATTTTACTTGAGCTGATCGATAATGACCAAGACTATTATAAACGTTGACAACAGGGATTTACAATGATTTATCAATTAGCTAGTAATAATAAGTTTCTGATTGTAAAAAGTTTCTTTAACGGATGAATTAATTTTGTTAGAAATCATTTTATCATAATATTTCTTCACATCATCAAACAAGCATCCCTATTCTATTTAACTTAATGATGAAGCATATATATATATATATATATATATATATATATATATATATATCAATTTTTCGGGAAACAAAATACTGAAAATTTTGACGCTGAATGTTTTTATTACTGAAATGGTTGAGTACATCTTAAAATTATAATCTCTATTGATTTGTTCTTGTTTTTTAATTTTTTTAATTTTCTGTAACAGATATTTCAACGCACATAGTCATTGTAGCTGCCCTACTGTGTATTACACTAGTAGTATCATTAAGTAGTATGTTTGTTTATCTAATATGTAAACATTTGAAAAAAAAAACTACATTTAGTTGATAACAGTAATACATGAACAAACGAAATCATGGACCAAATCACCAGCCAGAGTTTATATAGTAATCAAATGAATGAATATCATTATTGCGTATATGGATTGATTAGATTTCGAGCATTTCCTGGTTCAATACAATTGACCAATGAACTTATGATTCAATTTTATCTTGGCTAGGTTATATATTCAACTATGAACTATTTTAGTATTGATGAATATTATACGAAATTAAACAACTTATCCAATAAACTATTGACTTGCAAGCAAATCAGTTTACTATGATTATACTCGAAGGTTCAAACATATTCTATTCTTTTTTGTGTAAATAAAATTAATCGTCTTCAATTGCTTTTTGTTTTATATTCTAATACAGAACGTCTTGTATTGATACCTTTAATTTCATTAACAACAATGATGTCATATCAACGTGAATTAATTAGGGAATATGTTGTTAATTTCATATGATTGACTGTTGACCGTTTGTTGTAGTTAAATGAGATGACCATTAACTTAAATTGCGGGATTTTAATACCACTTACTTGAACAATATGTGCAAGATCAAGGGAATTCATTTTCTCTATAAAATTCAAACCTCATTCGAACATAGCAAGAACAAAAGTTTTGCAGCATAAAATGAATTCAATTGAGTTTGTTTTCCTTTTTCGCCCCAAAACGAGCAAAAAAAACTACTACAATTATTCTGTATAAGAATGGTTCAATTCTAACTTAACAAACAGTAATTCAGACAAAATGATGAACTTGAACATAAAATTGTATTCAAGGTAGAAACAGATGGTGGGATAATTAAATTGTCTTGTTACCTTACTTACTTACTTAGTTGGAACTCTACTAAAAAGTTGTCTTTAACCCATAAAATAAAAGGAGCTAGTAGACATTAAAAACCGTCTTCCTAAAAATGAGTGACTTGGAAAATTTCATATAAAACATGAAGAAAACTTCTTCAAAACTCATGACATCCAATCGATAGGAAAGAAATCTGTCTTGATCCATTTTTCATCCAAAGGGATAAGATTTCAAGTAGTATCCTAAAAGAATTAAGGCAGTATTAAAATGAGGCTTCCTTGCTGTCCAACCAGTTCTTCCGTATATTCCTGAATAGTATTTAAACTAATCGAACGTAGGTCATTAATCTTCTGAAATCACCTCCAATTGTATTTATAAATTTAAATTTATTTTTGAGACTGAGAGAAGGCTATCCACATGGTTTTTTGCTTTGTTTAAATTTATCAAAAAGGGAACAGTTTTTTATAAAATTAAAGTGTTTAATTCTATTGAAAAACTATATTAGGACAGCAACCTAGTTGACTAAAGTGTCATGAAACTTCCTAGTTCTTTCATGAATGTTGATCAACACTAAACACAACTTCAATGTTTCTTTTTCTTAGGTTACACATGTTTTTCATGTAGAATGTAATACATTATGATTTGATATTGTATTTTATTCTTCGAATAATATAGGTTTTTCAATAGCCGGTCATAATTAGATTGTAAATTAAAAAACGATGTTTATGTCCAGGAAAGCAAATAAATAAAATACATTTCGAGCGATTCTGGGTCAAATTATGATGTTTTACAATTGGTGGTAATTATATGTGATCGATTTCTACATTAAGAAAATCCAAGTTTTACCTACATGGACCAATCCAATTACGGAGAAGTTTTGAAGGATGTGGAAACCTTTACATATCAGCATCATTGATGAACACGGTGGATCAGATGCAGATGTGAAGGCAAGGATCGGCAAAGCAAGAGTAACATATCTACAACTGAAGAACATCCGGAACTCAAAACAATTGTCAACCAACACCAAAGTCAGAATTTTCAATACAAATGTCAGGATAGTTACACTTTATGGGGCGGAAACCTGGAGAACTACGAAAACCATTATCCAGAAGATACAGGTGTTGATTAACAGTTGTCTACGCAAGATAATTTAGATCCGTTGGCCAGACACTATCAGCAACAAGTTACTGTGGGAGACAACAAATCAGATTCCAGCGGAGGAAGAAATCAGGAAGAAGCGCCGGAAGTGGATTGGGCACACTTTGAGGAAATCACCCAATTGCGTCACAAGACAAGCCCTCACATGGAATCTTGAAGGTCAAAGGATAAGAGGAAGACCAAAGAGCAAATTACGCTCAGAAATGGAGACAGACATGCGAAGAATGAACAAAAGTTGGATAGAATTAAAAAGGAAGGCCCAGAACAGAGTGGGTTGGAGAATGCTGGTCGGTGGCCTATGCTCCATTGGGAGTAACAGGCGTAAATAAGCTAAGTAAGTAAGTTTTACCTAGAAACGAGCTGGAAATTCAATTTTCATTCTAGGATTTTCCCACTTACTTCTTGTGATAAGTGGAGAAAAAACAGTTATTATAATGTCATCTTAAAAGTGAGATGTGTTGACTGATATACAATATGATAAAAAATGAATTTATTACTACTAATAAGGTAAAAGCATTAATAACAAACTAAATGCTGCTGAGTTTCTCTATTTGATTCTAAATACTAAATAACCATGTTATCTAATCTTGGTCTTTCATGATTTAAACAAAATTAGAGTGTACTTTGTGCACTAGTTGTATACCTTTTTCGGTCAAGTCAACAAAAGTTAACAGTTATCGATTTATGATTTCGTGAAAGGTCAACACTTTTCATTGATAGTTTTTAGAAGAATTAATTTATTACTATATAGATTGATTCAACGTTAGTGTGTAATTATTAAGATGTCTTTTAATCCTGTTAGTAAACTGGATAGATTCCGAGAGTAGAAGGGTAGAAACTTGGAATACCGGATATTCTTCAAATGTCATAAATTTAGATTCTTTTGTGGATTTTTGTGTCCTCTACCTTAAATATTCATAATTTTCTAGATTAATCAATTTTTATTCAGTAACTTCTAGATTCAAGGATTTTAATAACTGAACATTCTGTCTGAATATTCTTCATTTGTGAGTGTCAGTTCAATGAGCTGTAAACTGATCGAAAAATGTACTGACGGGAATATTCCAGAACCTACATTGAAGAGATGAACGAGTTTTATGGACCCGAATTTTTATTTTCGATAAACCAATGAAGAAAAACCTGTTGTAAAGGATTATCTATTTTTAACCGAAATTCAAACCTGTAACATCTAGCAGGAAACTGCATAAGCTTAAATAAAAAGAATTCACTATTATTAGAGCTTCAGACACTAAATATATTACTAAATATATTATACACAAACCCCCTTGTGATATTGATCATATGCTCACTAGTGACTGGATCCATTAGGTAATTCCTGGAGTTCTAGTGAGAAGTCGTGGCCAGTGGAGCTAATCCATGTCAGGTAGAGACAGGTATCTACCTCAGTACAATGGAAGTTGGTCGCGAAATTTCGTTGATTGGTTGAGGTTAGACATTAACACCGCTAGATGCCGGCTCAGTGGTCTATCGGTTAAGTGCTCTGGCTCGAGACCAGTAGGTCCTGGGTTCGAATCCCGCGAGGCGGGATTGTGGATACACACTTCTGAGAAGTCCCATAATAGGACGAAACGACCGTCCAGTACTTCCAGGTTTTCCATGGTAGACTAGCTTCAATTGACTAATGACCTTAACTATATAATATTACTCAACAACTGACCAAGACTTCTTCATAATGGTAGCAATTCAGTAGTCAGTTTTCACTATCTAAACCATATCTAACTAAATCATTCAAAATTAAAAGTTGGCTTGTCAATAATCGGAAAAAAAACATTCCAAAAACTGAAATTCAATTAGGTAGGTATTCTCGTGCTTTTTAAAGTCATAAATTAAAGTTTTAAAAAGCATTGTTTATTGAATGTACATCTATTGTTTTTCACCCTTCATATTTCAATTAGTTTCTTTTTTTAAAACTATTAATTACATATTTCCATGACGACTAACTAAACTAACATTAGACATATGACATGGAAATGCATCTAAAAGGACTTGCTGTACATCTGGTGGTGCATCTGATTACATTTCTTGTTGACTCAACATCAGACTTTCGGTGATCTTATTGTGTTTGCCAGGCATTCCAATGTTTGTCACTTATGATTACCGTTCGTTTAAGAAGTAATTGTTTTAAATATAAATAGTTAATAACATTGATTCACAAAACAACAAAAATTCATATTACAATCGCACATAGATAATGTTTATATAAATTGTATAAATTAGAATAAAACGTTATGTAATATAATTCATTTGACTTACTCAAATCATTTGAATATTTTTTTCTGGTTAGCGTTTTTTAGCGAGTTGGTTTTCTACGGGATTGGGTCGCTAACCCCATGCCCAACCCTCCTCTTTTACCCGGGCTTGAGACCGGCAGTAGCCCCCGGAGGAGCTACAGGCGGAGTTAATTCATTTGACTAATACAGGTTTATTTATTTGACTTTGAGTAACACTGTTTGTATCTAGGATTTTAGTGATTTAACCTGACTAATCAAAGCTAGACAAGGGAAGGTATGTTTACAATGTAAATCGATCGGTTAGAAGCTGAATACTTTAGCAATGAAACTATTGTTTGAATTGAATTAGGAATACTTTCGGTGACACATTTGAAATTCATAGAAATCCATTAAATATAAAATTTTAATCAAATTTATTTCAAATTAATAGTACATTTATCAATGATTGTTTAATTAATTTGATAAATCTAAAATCTCTGGCTTCAGAAAATAGAACTTCAATAAACTGGAGATTTCTATTCCATGGTGAATTATTAGAGAATCTAATTAATTTGAAGCAAATTATTCATAACAGTTTCAGTACTTTTGCAAACAAAACACTGATTAATATTTCCTTAGAACTTGTTCCAAACTCTTCTTAATTCTAAGCAAGGTAAAATTCCTAACATTTGGATCTTCTACATTATTCAATAAACAAGTATAACTGTTATGAAGATAAGAGTTAGAAATAGGGATTCTGAACCAACCCAAACGAGAATCGAAATAATATTTAACATATTATATTACATATTGTTTGTGACAGTTACTGTGATCGGAATGAGACAAAGTTAAGATATATAATGAATTCTAACTCTATGGTAACTAGTAAAGTAATCGACGTTACAGCAGAAATATTCACACAATTCTTATTTCATAGTACTAATATTTTTGTCATACTCTTTTTCTTTGACTGGTTCAGTGGGAAACAGTCCCTCATTGGGGTGGTAAACATAATCAATAAATACATGTGTATGCTAAATGGATATTTGTTGTTTTTACAAAGTTTAGATGAGTGAATAATGCGATGGCGTTTGAAGTGAAAGGTACAGGGTTCGAGTCCCTGAGTGAAAGTCAACTGTGAGATGCGGGTACATCCAGCTGACTAGTCCCAAATAAGACGAAACATGCGTCATGGATTCCACTGCTAGCCACTATCCATCTTTACTTACAATGTTTGTGAATTAAGACTATTTTGAGGCAATATGCACAGTATGCACATATGCCAATTAGAGACTGACCAGTTGCGGTCCTAAACATCAATGGAAAGA